TAAATTTTTGGTACATGAAGTGGTTTTCGGCCCAATTTCAACGCACAACTCTTTTGGGCTTAAGAAAATCAAAATACGGATAGATCCAATTAGCGTTATCAGTCACATGTGTAGGCAATCTATATCTGGGCTCATATTATTTGATGACTTTTGGTGATAGGCCCTTTTGGGCCAGTGTTGTGACTTGGAGACCTTAAGTTAAATCTGGGAAGTCTCAGTGACATAATTAATAGCTAGGCTTTATTATTTGCTTTTCTTTTTCACGATTTGAAGTTTGAGTTATCCGCAATAAAGCATGACTATAACAATTGACTTTCAAGCATTTTGCGAATAGTATTCTAATGTAATAAACTATATATGATTGTATTTTTGAAAGTACTCAACATTTGTAGCCATATATATGTATTTAATAATAAAATCATTGCTGAAAAAGTTATAATCCTTCATTACCCAATGGATTTGGATTTTGGAGTCACAATATTATTACTTAGTTTTTAATATTCAATCACTAGAATAATCAATAACTAATTAAGTAAAGAAAGTTGTCACTAGCAGTCGTATTAGGGAGAGTTCATGTTTGCGGTGCTGATGTTCCTGAATTTCACGAAATAAAAGAAAAAAAAAAAGTAAGGTTCTTGTCAGGTTTTCGGCCCATCAAATCAGTCAGTCAGTCACAAGAATTTTAGTGTGGGCTTGGGCTGAAAGGGGGCCATTTGAATCAGTTCATGGACTAACTGGGGATACCTGGACGGTTAGGAGGGCCCAATTTTTTGAGGTTGACAGATTTAACATCATTTGGAAATTTTAATAGCCTATAGAAATGATATACTTCCTTTTTCTTGATTAATTATTCTAAGAACTGTTTTAATTTTGCACAATATTAAATTTTGAGTCATACTAAGGGAGGTGATTGGTGCTCGTCTCCATGTGCTGTGTCTTGGTGGTTGTCCGTTGGAAGAAGGTCTCGACTTGTCGATTCGGAACGAGTTAGCCTTGGCCTAATGAGTTATGGTGTTTGAATTTTCTTGATCTGTTTTGGGACCATGTTTTTATCTTTATTGGATTGTCTTTGATTGTTGTTCTCGCTGGTGTAGGTGAGAGGTGTTGGACGACACTGGGTGGGCTTTATTATATTATTTAGGCGTGTGTTTTAGTTGTTTTGTTGGTTTTTTCTTCTAGTTTTTCGGTTCAAGTTCAGATACATCTACTTTTAGTCTCCTATATGGAGTTGTTTCATCTTCTTTTTGGAGTTCTTTTGTTTTGCGGGTGATTGTACCCCTTTGATTGACTGTGTAATCCTAATGGTTAGGATCCAGTATTTGTGTTGGTTTTAATGGTGTCCGTTGACACATCAATTGTACTCGTATTGAGTTTGTCAGTTTTTAATATAATTATAGTTTGAAAAAAAAAAGCAAACAAAGTTGAAACGGGGGAAATTGCTTAACGAAGGTAATTTAGAGCCGACAACACAACATCATCAAAAAATTAAATAAAAAAATCTCGACTCCCACACGAGAGATTAACACACTTCAATAATGTCGACTATTCAACAACACGAACAAATCGAAAAAACAGACTCAAGAAAAAATAAAGAAAAAGAGTTAAAAATAACTAGAAATGCAATAAAGTTTCTCCTTCACTGTCCAAATGAACTCGTCACCTCCACTATCAAAACTACATATGCTCATAGCCATGGACAATTTTCTACGAACAGTCATTAATATATTCACAATCAGAAAAATCCTATAATCTTTCAAATGACAAAATAAAAAACCTATATATGTATTATATTTGGTTTAACCTTTTTTTCTCTATTCATTTGCTATTTGCTATCACGCGTGATCATCACTTTATTATGATCGATTGAAAAAGAGGTACTACTACTTGATAATAACTTGATGTTGAAAGTGTTGCGGTTATAGTCGTGTTTAAGTCATGTCACCCTATAAAATCGTGGTTCACTAGCCTTACATCAAAGTTAACACACCCCCTCCACTACCCAACGAGGCGAGGGCCCTTGTTAGTTTGACAACCAAAATGCTATGTATTCTTTTCACTAACTGTCCTTTTAATTAGTCAAATCACTATTTTGTCCTATATTTATATACGTTATGTGTATACTTTTGTTTATGTTGTTTTTTTTAAAATGTCATTTATATATGAAAGTACGGTTGTTTAACCGTTAAGCCTGTCTAACAACAGCTTTATCGTACGTACGTTGTTAAAAAAATATGACGCGGCGAACTTGGCCAATTTGTAACATTGTATTCATGTTATTAATTGTTTGAGTGTAAAAATGGTTGTAATTATTTTAGTGCCAACCTCCACAACCACTTGGCACATGTGAGTATCAATTATTGGCATGACCACCTCATTAGTGGTATCATGTCACATGTGAGTATCAATTAATGAATGGCATCAGCACCTCATTAATGGCATCTTCCAACTCATCCTCCAAACACTTTATTATTGCTACGCATGTGAAAAGTCTGTCCATTGCTACACTGCTACACTCCATCTATAAATATGTGAGGACTCAACACCGCAGAAGACACCGAAATAAGGCACAAAAGAAGAAAGAAAAATAGAGGAAAGAAAGAGAAAGGAAAGAAA